ATAAAAATCTTAATGGATTCAAATTGGCTTCTTGATTCTGAACAAAATTTAATACTTGGTATAAACGTGATTGAACTTCTCTTTTCAATTTTGTTTTATAATCTGTCAATCGAGGCTCGCGAATTCTAATTGAAGGAATAAAACCTGTTTGAAGTAAATCGTTTTTAATACGATAAAAGTAATTGGGTGCAACTTCTTCTAAAAGATTTTTGACAAAAACATCAATTCTTTGATTTTTAACGCAGCCAAAATCGTGATATTTTATCTTTTTAAATAAAGATTCAGAAACGTTATTCACAACGGTTAATTCATTTGGTCTGGCAGCGGCTATCCACATCATAGCCAACAATTCCTTATACAAAATTCAAAAACTTGGGTGCAATCAGAACTGATTGCACCCAAGTTTTTGAACTTTCTTGAGGGAATTAAAGGGTGAGAGATTTATAGTCTATCTATATATCTCCCGCCCTCTAATTCCCTCCCTGACAGCGGGAAACTTTGTCTGAATGTTAAACTATTCAGACAAAGTTTCCCACTGTTTGCGAAGGAATTGTTGGCTATGATGTACTGATTCATGATCAGTACATCATAGCCAACAATTCCTTATATAAAGTTCAAAAACTTGGGTGCAATCAGTTCTGATTGCACCCAAGTTTTTGAACTTTCTTGAGGGAATGGAAGAGTAAGAGGTATACATTATGAATATATACCTCTTACCCTTCCATTCCCTCTCTGACAGCGGGAAACTTTGTCTGAATGTTAAACTATTCAGACAAAGTTTCCGCTGTCAGCGAAAGAATTTTTCCATCTGGTGCATAGAGTGTGAATCTATGCACCAAATGGAGCAAGTCCCTCGCGAAATTGCCCAAACTTGCGTCGCATTTCAAAGATTGCGACCCAAATTTTGGCGATTTCTAGTAGAGATGGAGTATTTTGAGTCACTGACCTATATGCAGTGGCTCAAAGGGCTCCATCTCTACTTTGAAGCAAGGAAACTTTCCTCGAAATTTTGATAATTTGAAGAAAGTTTTCAAGCAATTAACAAAGGATTACTCGCTATGAGGTAAAAATTCTAGATTTTCACCTCATAGCGAGAGCTTCCCTTTCATTGCTTGAAAACTTTCCCCAGCTTCAAAATTGGGGAAAGGGCTGTAAAGTCGACTCCGATACCAGCAGGTACCAGAGTATTTAAAAGAGAAGCCCTCGTACGAGTTTCTATGAAGACCTTCTCATTCAAGAAGATCTTAATAGAAAATCGTACGAGGGCATTGGAAACTCGCGTCTGGTACATGTTGGTACCAGAGTGTTTGAGATTTGAAGACTCTGGTACTAACATGTACCAGAATTTATGATGAATTTAAGATGGACCATTATAAAATGGTAGCGGTTTGTTTCAAAAAAATTTAGATGAGATTTGCATAGATATAGATTATATGATTTATACATATGAAAAATAATATATAAAAATATAATTTGGAGATAATTATGTAAATAATATTTTAAATATTTGAATTTGAGGTATAATTTTATAGTAAAATATATTATAAAGAGTATTTATATAAATATTGTAAAATAATATAAGTAATAAAAATTGAGACCCCCTCCCTGTTTTTGATGTTTTGTCACTTTTTCGGTAATTCTTATTGTTTCTAACAATTAAGGATATGCTCACTAAATTGAAATCTTTTATTCCACCAAGCAGATTCAAGAATATTTATTCCGATCAAGGTCCGGCAATTATAGCTGCTGTTAGAGAATCAGGCTTTTCTTGCGATCATAAATTTTGCTTACGTCATTTTGCAACAAAAAGGGAATACATCAATGTCTATTCCGAAATTGTTGAAGTCGCTTACGCAGACCATCCTCAAAAACGAATTGACTTGATTAAAAAGTTAGAAACTCGTTTACAAGAGGAATATCCAAACCGCGAAAATAATCAGGATCTCTTTAAGTACTTAGATAGTATTAACCCATTTGAAGGATTCGCTGACTACACCGCTGGCATACTCACAACATCTCTTATTGAATCCCTTAATGCCGAAATTAAAGATAAATGGGATACATATGAACCCGCCGAACTAATTATCCGTCTCATTGAACATGAATTCAATCTTGTTAAAAATGTTTTAACAGGTGATTTTAAATCAGATAATATTATCAAAAATCTAAATGAAACTTTGAAACATTCAGATATGTTTAGCTCGGTATTATATGATCCAATTCAAGAATTATATTATGCAACTTTTGGTCGCTATACATATTGCGTAAAAATTATGTCAGATTCACAATATTCATGCACATGTAAGCACATCGAATTATACGGATTACCTTGTATTCATGTAATCGCCGTATTGAATCACTTTTCGAACAAAAATCTTCTTAAAAATTTGAATGATGCAGTTCATGCTCGCTTCAAATGTTCAGAGTTTATGACTCCTGTGGAAGATTTAATGAAATTTTATGTTGACCAAGCATCTTTAAAAATTCCCGGAATAAATTTCAACCTGGGAGAGATTGAAAAATTAAGGGGAAAAGGACTAGGATTAAAGCATTTTACGAAAAGTGATGCTGTGTTGTTAGTTATTTATTTACTTTTTTTAATATTTTTTAAAAAAATAAAAGAAAATTCAAATAATTTTGTATCTCCCATGATATATCGACCCACGAGTACTAATGTGGCTATAATTAGAGATTGCAACTCTATTATGATCATAGTCCGGTGATATACAATAAGATTCAAATTTTGAAAGAATTAAATTAATAAAATCCCGGTGAAAAAAATAAAAACAGCTTCTAAAAGTATAGTTATCTTAAAATACGAACTTTAACACAAGTTTTTTGATCCAATAGAAAATTGAATTCTTTGAATAAATAAAATATTTTATGTATTAACATATTAAATTTCCTAATTATTTTTTCTTCTTGGGAAAATTTTTGAATTCGAATAGAAAATTCAATAAATTGAAATTGGGTTGAAAGAATTCTCCATATTAACTTGTCATATATTTCAGATCATATAAATTAAGTTAATTAAATTTTTTAAAAACCTTAATAGGATAAAAAAAAGAATTTACACTCTCTCACTTTGAAAACGTAGAAAATGCCAATCTATTGGTATACATTTTAGTTTTGTTAAGTTTACAAAACGATTACTCTAGATTTTAAAGATTTATCAAGAATTTAGAGAATATCCTTCTCAAAACAACTTCAATAGCGAAGGATTAGTATTGAATCGGATTTGTAACATAATTATAGTACATTACAATACAATTTCTCCGACTTTTAAATATTTTTGAAATATTTACAAAATATGCTCTTTCTATCATCGATACTTTAATACAGAGCAAATTTAGTAAATGTCATCACGTTATTTTTTCATAAATCGTTTTCGAACTTTTGAAATATTTATTTTAAACCAGTTTTCTACATTTAATATGTGAATTATATCAAAAGTAGATGGGCGATACTTGTAAATCTATTTAAACTATTAGTTTGCTATTATTGAAGAACTTTATAATTTTTTTTTCTTATGTATGGAATTAAAGATAATTTTGCCGATTCCAACTGGTTTTTCTATATGAGTTAAATATGCCAAGTGAAATTGGACTTGCCAATATTGTAAATTGAAGTATGGACTATATATCGATTTTCATTGATTGATGAATAACTCGGAGTAATGTAATTGTTGATAATGAAAAATAGTTTTCAATTGCTGGTAAGGGCCAATGTATGTTCAATAGCTCCGAAAGCAAAAAATGCACGTTTAGAAAAAGACGATAACGATTAAATTACAAAATCGATAACGACGACGATTAAATTACAAAATCAATAATGACCCAAATTTGAGGCTATAAATAATATTGACAAACCGTCTGAAAACATTCAATATGACACTTTTATGATTTTTATCAACTCTCCACATCGGCTCTTTTAAAATATTTTGAAATTTTAATAAGTGTATGAATCTACGCATCTTTGATCGAAGTTTTTTGAACCATTCTGAATTTTTTGAATTAAACTTCTTTCAGATTTCGTTTGAACCTCTGTGAATATGGCATCACTCGATTTCTGCACCAACCAAGATAATAGCGATGAGAATATAAACCCAGAAAGTATAGAACTTGAAGTTTTCTTAGAATCCAATAAATTGTATATCAGATCAAAAATGAACGACATTCCTGTCTTCGAAATCGAAGGGGACTATACAGATCCAATAATAGAAGGAATTATTCAAGCTATTCAGACTGGAACACTTAATGATAAAATTTTGGAATTGCTTGATGGCTTTTCAGCCATAGCCAATATATCCTGCGTTAAGTGCACAGTTAATGATGATCGTCCTAATCAAAATCACGTCACTACACTTTATCTGCATCGTAATCAGATCCAGGAAAACGTCTTCCGTTCTGTGATCTCGGTTGCATCACCTTGTTTGATTCTTAACAATTCTAATAATACTAAACTTTGTTATTAATTTTTGTCGTCTAAAAATTTATTGTTTCATTTTTTTATTTGTTCTAATCCCATTCATAAATATACCATATTTGGATATACAAGTAAATGTCGATCATTCTTATTGATTGAGAAATCAGATATATGATGAGTTTGGATTGAGCATAGTTTGATTAGGTAAATTTTGATTTCAGATATAAGATATCAATTTTGATTTCAAAGGTATATTTATTTTCGGTATGAAATTATGTTCATTATAAAAAGATATTATAGCTGATTTTTCAAATAAGCATCAAAACTATTAACTTCGCCTAAATCTTCATTGTCAAGCTAAGTAAAAAAGAACCATTAATTCCAAATTTCCTGATCAATTAAGGATTTATTTGCAGAAAACGCTGAAAGATTACGAAGAAAAAAAAAATATTCATGAGTTAAAAATTGAATGCATTTTCAGCAATAATATATATTTCTAAATGATTATCAAATTTAAGCGATTTTTAAAGTATGATTTGAAGTATCGAAACGATTATTTTTCATATAAAACTAACATGATGGACAGGGATATGTCGGCAATGTCATTTCAAACTTTTCAGAAAGATCCTCTTTCTGTATCACGAGAAAGGGATCTTGCCAACGGAGTTTTCAAGTCATCTGTTGATGTTGATCGCTCTATGTGGCGTGAAACAGTTTTAAATCGAAACCCTGAGATAAAAAGATTACGCGAAACCGTCAATCCTCTTCAGCGAGCCATTGCATTTTCCAGACAATATCTTCCAGATAATCGTTTTGTTGATCCAAATGTATTAATTTCTCTCATCAGTCAGCATCTTAGAACTCTCGGTTTAGTTGAAACGCATTCTTCTCTTCACAAAGAATGGGAGCATCAAGTCAGTACTCCTCATTTACAAGAATCTGCCTTAGCACTTCTTGCCCAACGTGCGATTCAAAGATCCGAGAAGTTTTGGGAGCTTACAGTTCCATCATGTCATAATGTACCAGGTTTAAAGCAAACACAAGCAGCTCTTGCTTCAGTTGTTTCAACCACGATCGGATCCACTCCGAAATTGCTCGAAGATACATCTCCTCTCTCCCAAGAGAAAGAGGGTGATGAAAACTTCATCAAATACGAAAACGGCTTCCCTGTTGAAGCTTCTCTTAACCAACTTATCTATTATTCCACATCTCGTAAGGATAGATACGCCGAGCTCATGAATGCCATGTGCTTGACAATTAACTCATACAGCTCCAACAAAGTCTTCTTAAAAAAAATATGCGAAAGAACTTTGCAATGTAATGACCAAATGAGTGTTGTCCCATGCATGAAACTCATTTCTGTATGGATTAATGGTGCAGGCAAAGATCTTGAGCCCGAAATTCTTGAAAAAATTAATCTATTCTTCGAAGAACACGTACGTCCCAGATTTCCAACCATCAACATTACATCTATTCGTGAGATCAAGAAAACAAACCACCTCCGAGACGGCAAAACCATTCCTGTCGAGCTCGGAAATATCCAAGGTTTATGGAACGACAACTTCGACATCATTGACCTTCCAGCGTCAGAGCTTGCCCGTCAACTTACAGTTTGGAGCTACACCCGCTACTACGCGATTCAAAGAACAGAACTTCTTGACTGCGCTTGGGAAAAGCCACGTCTTAAACACAGGGCTCCGAACGTTGTAGCCCTTACAACCCACTTCAACCTTGTTTCTCAGTGGGCAGCAAGCAAAATCATCGAGTCTAACCTCACAAAGAAGAGGTTGGACACTTTAAGTTATTTCATCAACGTATTGAACATACTTTACGATACAAAGAACTACTTAGACGCTATGGCTATCCTTGGTGGCCTCGACCATAACGCCCTCTACAGAATGAAGGTCCATTTCTCACTTCTTCCGCAAAGTGATCGCGATACTTTGGAAAAAATACGCGATAAGTTCTCTCCTGACAAACAGTTCGCCAAATTGAGATCATTATTCGATGAGGCCATTGAAAATAAGGAGCCTGCACTGCCATACATCGGTGTTCTCCTTTCCGACCTTTTCAAATTTGATGATGCAACACAACCTTTCATCAACGGACTCATCAATGTCAGGAAAGTCATGAAGGTATACTCAATGATCTACAAGATCGAGTGTTTCTCCAATTACAAATACATGTATCTGCCAATCGACCAAGTTCAGGAGAAATTGAGCAAATTCGAACCAATAGATGAGGATAAGTTACTCAACAGATCATTCGAGGTAGAGCCAGAAAGCGCTCAGACAGAACTCGACCTTTTGAACCAGAACAATAAGTAGAAATAACTTATTGTCGATCAAATCGATCAGTTCATGGCGTAGAATCTTATTTTTGGTTAATTAATTTTGTAACTCTTTAGGTTTTTTCTGTTTTATTAAAATTTCGAAAACAAATATATATTTTTTACTATTATCTATTAAGTAATTCCAAATTGAATTATATTATGTTTGATTGCTCTATAAAATTAACTTCTATTGATCAATTGGAGATCGAAATAATCATAATAATATTATATTGCTTAGGTTTGTATTGGGAATTTAATTTTTAGTGGATGTTAAGTGCAATGTTCTTACTGTCTTAGTAAAATTCAAAACCTTATATATTGATTACAATTCTTTTAGTATATAATAGTGCAATTTCTGAAAAACTGCCTTACTATGAACAAGCATTATGAGGTTAAGATCATATATGCATAGAAGCTATGTTTCATTCAGAATATTGATTCTTTACATATTTTATCAAGAAAATATATGATTATAATGCACTTGTATAATATTTTCATATATTTAATGTGATATTACATGACCGCAGGTGACATTTCAGCTGAAAAGAATACGATTAGGAAATTAATGCAGATTTTATGTGTGCACACAGTACAGTATCAAAAAATCTCATTTAAACTTAAATGATAAAGTAAGGAATTTTCAATAAACGAAATTCACTTCATCTTGCTTGAATAAAGATAAAAAAGCATGAAATACATGATCTACATAAAGTGAGAAATGTTATTTTAAAGTAATGTTGTTTTTACTATTGGTGTGAAGCACCGGTATGACATGTTGAAAAATTTCAATAATATTTTTTTTGGGAGAAAAAATGGGGAAACATAAGAAAAGTTTAAGCTTGGAAAGAAAATTCTGGAGTGAAGAGTTAGTAAAAGCATACGAGCAAGTTGATCAATCGCTTTCTCAAGTATCATGTTACGAAAATCAACTTCAAATTATATCTTTACAAATGTACGATTTTTTAGATAGATTTCTCAAATCAGACCCCGAAAAACCTCTCACTAGGCTTCAAGCCGAGAAAATTGTCGATTATATTCAGTCATGTTCAGAACTTGCGAACTTTTGCCAAAAATTAACAGCTGGAAAATGGCTTGGCGTATTCCTCTCAGAACCAACGCACTCATCGGTCAATGTGTTTTCAAAACTATGGGCTGATTGGGCTTCTTGTGCCAATTGTTTCATGTTTCCTTCTTTTGAATTCATCGAATCACTTTACTACGGCTTTTCTCAAGATCTCATTAGTATACACACAGCACTGATCGGCATTGCGCCTGGAATTTCTACAAGATTTAAAGGAGCTTTAGTCAAACGAATGATAGAAATAGAAGCGTGCATTGGAACATCAGACTTAGATCGTAACAGAACAAGCCCATACATTTTAAAGCATCAAGACTGGCAGATTATCAAAGAAAATATCGGATTGGGCGGATACGCTACAGTACACCTCGCAAAGATGAGATCTACCGGCGAAATGGTGGCTGTCAAAGAGCTTAAAGCAGTCCAGCTCAATCAAACCCGCGTTATCTACTTAAAACGTGAAATCGACGCTTTAATGCGACTTTCCCACCCAAATGTCATTAAATTGATCGGCGTAACCGTTACTCCTCCATTTTGTATCGTTACTACATACGTTCCGAACGGTTGTTTGATTGATTTAATTAATGGAAAAAGTATCAACCCTAGATGTACTCCAATCTTCAGAATGAGGATCGCTTTGGATACAGCGAGAGCTCTAGAATACATCCACAGCATCGGATTGATACACAGAGATCTAAAACCTCCAAATATTCTTCTTGATAATAATGATCGTGCTATCGTCTGCGATTTCGGTCTCGCACGTATCGTATCTTCAATGATGTCATGCGAAATAGGCACTACACAGTGGTGCGCCCCTGAATTGTTGACATCTGGAAATGATTATAATCAATCTGTTGATGTTTATGCGTATGGTATCATGCTTTGGGAATTACTTACACAGAAGATACCGTTTAAGGGTCTAAAATGCATCCAAATCTGCGAATGCGTTCTGAAATACGCAGAAAGACCAGAGATACCAGAAGATTGTCCCGAAATGTTTGCTACTGTCATAAAGAGATGCTGGGCGCAACATCCTGAAGAGCGACCAACTTTCCAACAGATCCGTGAAGTATTTGAGAGAGGAGATGTCTTAATTCCGGGAACTGATAGGGACGAATACATGAGATTCGTAGAGCAAACACGTCCAGAGCATGAAAATGCAATGAGAATGGCCGCATCGCAAAAATCAATTGTAGATATGGCTCTGGAAAGGATGAACAAGCTCAGTTCGTACGACCAGTTATGTATATCTGCTTTGGAAACACTTTTATACTCAGGACAGCCACTGATGCCTCATATTAAGAAAATTGTTATCATGGCCGGTTTCAAAGAAGGCCAAGAACTCGCTAAACGTGCTATTACAAGCATTGTTAACGATTTGAACTCAAATGCAACTACTGTTGCCATTGAAATTCAGCCATTATTCGTAAATGATCCAGAATTTGTCATTTCGATGATTGCAAAGCTTCATGTTCGTATCAGAGATTTCCTAACAGTCCTCAAAGAGTACTTAAAGTTCGGTCAAAACCAAACTCCTCATATTGTTGACTTGTTAAGGTCATTTATATCATTAGACTGCCTCGATTACATTTTCTCATGCTTGGATGACAGATACGTCCACATTATACTCACTCAATTCTATGCTCAGTACGGATGTGACAAAAATCTTCCAAGAATTGCATTTACAAACATTGAATGTCTCTTCTACTCACTAAGGAAGCTTAAGATGAGTGGAGAGCTCCGTATGATTGATAAAGATAAAGAAGAACAGCTTGCTCAAGTTATGGAGATGCTTCCAGAAGGAACTTGGCCTCAGCATAACAATTTCCTTCTTATGGCGGATTGTATATTCCCCTGGATGCTCCGTTCCAATATTGGACAAGCTACAGCCGATATTATGTTAACTTGTGTAAAATACCAAGACACAATTGATTATTTGAAGACAGAAGAAGCTTACCAAGTTATCATTAAGATGCTTTCTTCACAGAGACTGACAATTGTCCTTGCAGCTGTCGAGATATTGAAGGTTATTCAGCCCCCATCTAAATATCTCGTCCCAATTTTCAATGAAACCGTTTCTGCATACAAAATTCATAACAATGAAAAAATTTTCATTTCAATTATGCATATGATTAACACAAATATCAACACATTTGAGATCAATGAGTTCTTCTATTGCTTCTTAAGTAATTTAGGAACCGACCAAAAAGAAAATTTGGAGTATCTCAAATTTATGTTGAAATCTAATGCAAAGAGGCATACTATTACTTATACAGAGCCATTGAGTAAGAGGATTTCATCGAAATTGTCAAAATTAGATTTTAATTCTGCTGCAGCTCTTGGATGTCTACTTCAGCAGTTCACTCCTAGATCGCAGGACTTAGCGTATGGTATTTGTTCGGCTCTTTCCTATCTTTACGGCAGCAAACCTCCATTTTCTGTCGCAATTCCGTTTTTGAACTTCATCAAGGAGTCAATGGGAAAGGAAGGAGTGTTGGATAAGCTGGCGGCTGAAAGATTCTCTGTTTACCTTTACCATGTTCCTCTCCTTTATCCACAAGATCCAAGAGTTCCGGTGATTATTGAAGGATTCACTGAAGCTTACGAATCTTTGATAAAGGCCTAAATGTTATTTTATGTTGTTTTTTTCTATTCTTAAATCGATTTATTTTTAATCAAAAAAAAATCATTGGTACTTTGTATGTAATAAAACATATTTAAATCTTAAGGATGTCCGCAGATGTCTCTCAAAATTTGATCGAATTGAAAGGTTGATATGTGAATATCATCATATAAAAAAAAGGAGATTGCTATAACTCATTAAATATGTGATGGTGGTGCATTATCACTAATCTTGAAATGATTGTTTAAAAAAATTGAGGCTTTGATTATCATTATTACCCTATTTTTACCCTCTATTTCCAGGAATTACTGTCACTTTTTTCCACTTTCTAAAAAAGCTTCTATATCTCGACATATATAGACATTTTCGAAGCATTTTAAAAGAGAATATGATAGAAAAGATGTTGAATTTTATGATTTTGTACTTTATATGGAAATATGAGATATGAGATTTAATATGATTTGATTGCAAGTTGAAATTTTTGATTTTTATAATATAGCATTTTTATGATATAAAGAGTGTTTTTATGATAAAATTTTTGCTCAAAAACAAAAATTTTGGTAAAACGGTAATTCCTGGCTGACGTTAAAATATGCTTTGTTCTCCACTAAAAATAGTATTTAATGATATAAAAATCAATTATTTTGAGTATTCATAGACTTTTTTGTTGAAACTTCGAACGCATGAAAACTACTATTAGAATAGATTAAATTGAAAATAAACAGCGGAAACAAATTCAGCACATTTTATATGATTTGGTGCTGTGACAAAAGTATATCATTCACACTCAAAGGAAAATCTGATTATCCCAATAAAATAGAAATAAATCAATAAAAAGTATAATAGATACATTCTATTTGGATGATGATACTATATCATTTATCAAATTTTGAAAATATTTATTTTTCACGAATTCGAACCGAAACAAGACCTCGAACTCGTCAAAATTTTAAAAAATGAATATTTATCAAAATAAATGCAGGATTTGTTGATTACATCATTAATACTCCATTCTTTTAGTAAATACATGTGCATTAGCCTTTTCCTTGCAAAAGATTGAATTAGATTTTTCAATTTATTCGGATTAAAATATAATTTTCGTTTATCCATATCTATGTAAATACATTAAACATCATAACACTTTGAAATACTATTGTTTTAGTAATCAATTTCTTATCCTTATCATTTCTACAATTGGGATTATTCACTTCATAATACAAAAGTTCTAAAAATGTCAAAAAGTATTCATTTTAGGAATAAAAGACTTAATTTAAATTTAATATAAATATTCTTATATCTATACAAACAAATTGTGAGAGCATTCAGGTGGCCCCATAAGTAATAACATATCAGTATTTTGATATGATACCTCATATATAAGGTTTGATTAGAAAGTTGAAATTAGCTTTTTCAATTTTTCATCAGTGAAAATGTTTGATACCTCATACCTATTAAAATAGCCTAATTTCAGTCCCATCCCTCTTGTATTCGTTGAGATAAGGAGATTTGAAATTATGCAATTTCGACGCCGTTACCCTCTCCATTTGCCACAAAAATGTAAGGGATATATAACACTTCTGTATAAATTAATATTTTATTGTTATTTTTTTAAAATAATACTTCAATCATGCTAAAATTGAATTTTTTTTTTGATGCAAAAAAGAGTCGATACGAAAAGCAGACTTTTTTTTGTACCCCCTCTCAATTTTTTTTCCAGTTTTCGTACTTTTTTACAGAGCATAGTATTTGATGTCCAATGTTTGCCTATGATCAGAACTCATCTTTCTCCTGTTCATATTTCAATCTCTGGTCTAGACATATATCACATCAAATATCATATTTGATTATTCACAATTGTTTAAAAGATTTTACACGCACAAGCATAATGTTTTGTGCAAAGTACAATTTCAATGTGTTAATCTATAAAACTTGATTTTTATTGCATATGCAATTAGGCATCTTTTTTAAAATAGAGTTTTGAAGATAAGCATATATGAGAATGATATGTACTTGTTATTGTAAGAACAATTAATGTTATAAATTTATTCAATTATTATAGATAATGAAATAAATATTTTATTATATAAAAAAGAGTGTTTATTCATTATAAATAGAGTTCTGTTAAGCAAATATTTTATTTGTAACGGGTAAACTATAAATTTGCATGTTTGAATTATTGAGATCAAATATTCGCATGCAATCAATAAATTTGCTGCAAAATTATAATCTCAAGCATGTACTATTTTGAAACAATAAAGCATCAGAGAGCCTTTTCACTATGATCTTTCAGAAAATGAAAGAACATAGAAAAACTGCCCTTTATAAAGATGCTATGACCTCAACAAGGGTCAGAGCCTGTATCTGTATGTCCTTCAGGGCCGAGATAAGAGGATATCGTCAATGATGTTGGCGATCTCCCTCAAACTCGGCCCTGAGGATTAGTATTGCAGGCTCTGACACATGTTGAGGTCAGAAATTCGGGTTTGCTGTTTTCCAGGGTCGGATTCCTCTCCTGTCGCCCTAGATCAGGACGACATTTGGGAAATCCGGCCCTGAGGACTGTAAGTGAGGCCCTGAACCTTTGCTGAGGCCAGAGCTTAGTATTTGTTGCTTCTCAGAGCCGAGTTCCGCTGAGAAGTGTCCGTGATCTGAACAATCTCAGGGAACTAGGCTCTGAGGACTGTAAGCGAAGCCCTGGTCTCTGCTGATGCCAGGGCCTGTATTTTGAAATCCTTCAGGACCGATATGAGAGGAGATCGCCAATAATGTGGATGATCTCCCTCAAAATCGGCCCTGAGGATTGATCTTGCAGGCTCTGACCTTTACTGTGGCCAGAGCTTCGTTTGGTAAGTATTCCAGGGCCAGATTCCTCGCCTGCCGCCCGGGGTCAGAGCGGCATTTGGGAAAGCCGGCCCTGGGGACTGTAAGCAAAGCTCTGGCCTTTTCTGAGGCCAGAATCTGTGTATTTCTTTCTTTCAGGCCCGAATTTGAGGGAGATCGTCAATGATGTTGACTATCTCTCTCAAATTCGGGCCTGAGGATTGTATTTGCAGGATCTGGCCACTGCTAAGGCCAGAGCTTCGTATGGGCACTCTCTTGGGACTGAATTCCTCTCCGGCCGCCCCGAATCAGGGCGGTCTTTGAGGAAACCAGCCCCAAGGATTGTTTGCGAAGCTCTGGCATTTCCTAAGACCAGAGCTTGTGAATTTCATTCAGAGCCAAGTTCCTCTCGGATCGAACCTAATGAGGAAGACCGTTGAGGAACTTGGCTCTGAGGAGATCAATTGTTTGCTCTGGCCTCGATGAAGGCAAGAGTTTTCAAGGGAATGTTTTGATGGGATGAGTCTATTATCAGTAAGCTCGTCCCATCAAAACATTCATTTAAAAATTGAATGAATAATTATCGTATCTATTCAAAAATTAAAAATTTAAAGATGAATAAAATTATAATACATATGAAAGAGAAATAAATTACATTGAAATTGAATAAAAAATTCCCAAAAAAAATTCAAAAAACTGAAAATAAAAAGAAAAAATATAAAATTTGATAAGAAAAAACGATTTGAGTTAAAAAACGTTTCTACAAAACATGAATATTTATGATTTAGAATAAATTGTGAATAAAATTTACTAGTTTAAAGAAGAATGAGAAAATTAAATTATATTGAAAAGAAGATACTTTAGAAAGGAGTTTACGATTGCAATATTATATGGTATAACATTGTACTCGTAACCTCCTTTCGATAATCTAATTTCTAAAGCAACATTGAGATATGAAAAAAATTAACTTTCTTCGAAAGGGGTTTATAATTGCAATATAATATGACATTATATCGCAAATGTAAACTCCTTTCGGTAATCAAATGTCTAATGTCACATTGCGGAACAAAAGTGAGAGATTCTCCCGATCTGAGTACGTAATTGCAGGATGCCATTGCAAGACCCTGCAAATATGTACTCAGATCGGAAACTTTGTTCCCAATGTCACATTGCGGAACAAAAGTGAGAGATTCTCCCGATCTGAGTACGTAATTGCAGGATGCCATTGCAAGACCCTGCAAATATGTACTCAGATCGGAAACTTTGTTCCCAATGTCACATTGCGGAACAAAAATGAGAGATTCTCCCGATCTGAGTACGTAATTGCAAGAACATAGAGATATAGTATGCAACAAATGCTTTTATCAACTTATTTACACTCATATAATTATATTCATCCTTCAATCTTGATTATATTTCATATTTCTGAGCAAACATAGAGCCTCAACTCATAATTATAAAGACTACCAATTGTAACCATATAAAAACACAATTTTTTAAAAGTTATTATTATTCAACTTCCTGTGATACGGTATTTTGATTACATTTCTTAAATTTTTGTAAAACAAGCATAGATCTATCATGAGCAATCATATGATAGTAAATATATTGCTTCCATGCTAAATTCAATTGAGATTATCTTGACATTAAACTTAGAATCCTCTCAAATTCAAGGAGATAATCACAATACAGCTATATTTTAATGCTGCAGTATAGCGAAAGCTCTCAGATTATTATACACTACTAATACCATATGAGTACGAAAACTGGAAAAAAAATTGAGAGGGTGTACGAAAAAAAAGTCTGCTTTTCATATAGTTTCTGCAAAAAATAACCTTAAATGGTAATTCCTGGAAATAGAGGGTATTTACTTAATTTTAACTGAAATTCCTTTCCTATCATCAATGAATTATCAGTCGCTTGATTTAATTGTGTTGATTTGATATTATCGGTGAAGGTATCAATTTATCAGTATATATATATATATATTCGAAAGAAATTGATGCTTAAGATGCGATGATAAAGTTGGTATAATTATATCACTAAATAATGATTTATCTTTTTAATAAATATCATGAATTTGTCATGTAGTGTTCGGTTAACCTTTAAGCATGATAAGAACCGTTAAGAATGATCTGTGTTAAGCCTTTGTCACCCAATATATGAGCGTTTAGGCATATATTATTCCTTACTAACATTTATTTAAATTTTTAAAAAATGATTTTAAATGACTTTGTGATGATTTTCATTTCAAACCTAATGCAAACAAAGAACTATAAGATAAAATAAAAGTAGACGTATTATTTATTAAATGGAAATAATAATACACCAAAAGAATTTTATCATTTATGGAAAAATATAATAAAAATATGAATAAATAGTATAACAAGCTATTGTGTATACATTATTCTATTGAAATATGTATAAAATGTAAATTGGAAGTTAAAATAAAAAATTCAATTTAAAATGTAATGAAAATTATTACTATAATCATGAAAACTGCAATAAAAATATTTGTTATGCACAAAAATATATGATTAATGAAAATATAATTAAAAAATGAATTTTAAAATATAAAATTTCAACTGAAGTTACTTATTAGTATATTTTATGATGTTAAAAGAAGACTTTGTACATGTATCATTAAAATAATATTTTAAAAAAAATACCAAAAAGCGATTTGAGGAAAAATATTGATGGAGAAAATTTCTATAGAAACGCTAGATAGTCAATTTCAATTTGAATTCATTCAATTTTCAGAGAGTATATTCAATTTTTGAACATCATTTATAACGGTATAAAAATTATAAAATCAAAAGGATATATTGAGTTTATGATTATTTTTTGTGACAATTTAAGCAACCATTTTATAATTTGAAATTTTAAAATTTATGATAATTAAGCTTGTGTATGTGAATTGATCTCTTTTAAACGTGCGATCGATTTTAAAAGATTGAAAAAAGATAATTTTCTGTGAACCTATTCAAAAATTCTAATAAAAAATTTTTATGTTGAATATTTGAGTTTAGAAAATCAATCAGTTCATTTCTCGTGATGTCTAAAATGCACGTCTTGATCTTAGTTGCTCATCCAGATCCAACTCACAAAGCAACTGCCTTCCGCTTCGCAGATTCTGCCAAAGCTGCTCTTGAAGAAGCTGGTCATGAAGTTAGATATGTTAACTTAATGGAAGCTGGATTTGATGTCGTTGCCTCTATGAATGATTTCAAGAGAGTCGAAATGGATCCATTTGAGTATCCTGCAAACCAGGCCATTCCTGACAATCTCATTGATACAATCAAAGTTCAACAGGAGAATCTCAAGTGGTCAACACATGTTCTCATCTTTGCTCCACTTTGGTTTGGCCGTCTTCCAGCATGCTTTTACTCTTTCTCAGAGCGTGTATTTTCATTTGGATTCGCCTACGATGGTGAGAGTCCTCTTCATCAAAATGTCTTGAAGGGCCGCAAAGTTGCCATCATTGTTTCAGCAGGAGTTGCCCCAATGTTCTTCGATCCAAAGAAAGGTAACGGTCTTGATGCTTACTTATGGTCTGCTATGTATGGCTTCAACTATGCAGGCTTCACAATCCTTCGTTCTCTTGGAATTTATGGTGCAAATTCTCCAAGGAGGAAAGCAATGCAACCAGAACTTCAGAAGAAGATCAATGAAAAACTTCTCAAACTTGATCAATGGAAGACAGTTGATGGTGAAAGAATCTATTCCAATTTCATTAATCTTGAACAGGTCTTCCCTGAAAACATTCTTAAAGAATGAAACTCAATTTTTAATGATACCTCAAAATATCTTAACCCAACATAAAAAATAAGCATTCTTATGCCTAAATTTAATCTTTTTCATTTGAGCTAGAAATGATTACTAAGATGTGTTTAATAGCATTTGAATATAATAATGTATCAATCAATTCAATGTAAGTTGATTTCAGGCAAATTTTGATAACATGATGGCTATTTTACAAATTCATTTTAAATTTCAATATAATATGGTGGATACTAGTTATTTCACTTTTAACCGATTAATGAATATATGTCATTGAGGTATAGAAAACAAATAAAATAAATTTGCAATCAAAATATACAAATTTTTAAAAACATATAAATCATTTGTGTTTTTGAGATTCAAATAATTACCTGCCTTATTTTTCGCAGCTTTTTTATTGTTTGGTTACTATAATACACTGAGAATCGGGATTCATTGTTTATGCTTTTCCAAACAAATGACGATTAAAACTTCAGAGAGTTTGAATGAACTCATATCATATAATCAACAAATATTTATTTTGCCGACGGCGGTTACACTTGTCCGAAATTATATTATATCAAATTTGATTTTTTGGCCTAAATAGTTGTTGTGAGTTTATGTCTTCACACTAGAGATCACCGAACTTTATTCAACTCAATTGAACAAAAAGTAATACGATTGTTTGTGTTCGAATCTAATCATCTGGATGAAAATTGTATTGTTTTCGACTTTTCTATTGCTATTGTGTCATTTCATATCTACGAACTTAATTAAAATTCATAAATTATATCCGAAATTATTTCCGAAAACTTTGTGATAATTGATCTACACATGTCTAGCATAATATTTGTTTCTTCTAAAATGTAAATGACCTTTTCATAAATTATTAATGTCCGAACAAGACATTCATCCAACTAAATATAGCGAACTGCGAAGTATCTTTGAACACTACATTGATTCATATATTGCTTTATATCAGCTGAAAACGGACAAAGAAGAAGAATTAAACGAAATTTACAAAATGATCAAAACAGAATTGATTGATTCAAAGATATACCCACCAAAAAAGATTGTGGAAGATGTTTTAGATATCATTCTGTATAATAATCGCTATACAAAGTCATATTTATCACTTGCAAAACTCATATCTGATGATTATCATGTAGAAGAGGTCAAGTATGTTGAACTTATTTCAAACTTCCTGTTTTATAAAGAATATGGAAATAAATTAGACAAATCCGGTGATTTTTTTGAATTTAACTTTGAAAATCTGGATATTCATAAAGAATATACAATTTACAGAGCAATTATGTATAATGACTTAGAAATGTTCATCGCATTCACGGAAGTAGAAGGATTTGATAAAGATCAAATACTTGAAAGTGGTTTATATCCATATTCTGAAGTAGGATATTCATTACTTGAATTATGTTGTTACCACGGAGCAGTTGATTGTTTCAAGTTTTTAAGAACGAAATTTCAATCAGAAATAACTAAAACATGTTTACAACTCTCATTTTTAGGAGGAAATGCAGAGATTATGAGTGAATGTTTGAAATATCAAGAACCAGATGAACAATGCATGGAATATGCAATTATTTCACACAACATTGATTTTGTTACGTTCTTGATGAATGAATACGATATAGAGATCATTTTAGATCATTGTACACAGTACAATAATCTTGAATCATTTTTAGTTTATTTCGATCAAACTAATGATGTTAATAATTGCTTTATTAGATCGATAATCTTTAATATTCCATCTCTTTGCGAATATTTCCTATCAAATGGTGCAGATATCAATCAAAAAGATTATGCTGGAGAAACCGCTCTTCATAATGCAGCATATTATAATAGCAATGAAATAGCTGAAGTTCTTATTTCACATGGTATAAATATCAATGAAAAAACTCAATATGGAAAAACCGCACTTCATATTGCAGCAAGTGAAAATAGTAAAGAAACAGCTGAAGTTCTTATTTCACATGGTATAAATATCAATGAAAAAGATAATGATGGAGAAACTGCTCTTCGTATTGCAGCAAGTGAAAATAATAAAGAAACAGCTGAAGCTATTTTATCACTAGGCATAAATATCAATGAAAAAGATGAAAGAGGAAAAACCACTCTTCATATTGCAGCAGAAAATAGTAATGGTAAAGAAACAGCCGAACTTCTTATTTCACATGGTATAAACATCAATGAAAAAGATAATGTTGGGAAAACCGCTCTTCATTATGCAGCATATTATAATCGTAAAGAAACAGCTGAAGTTCTTATTTCACATGGTATAAATATCAATGAAAAAACTAATGATGGAGAAACTGCTCTTCATATTGCAACATCTTATAATAATAGAGAAACAGCCGAAATTCTTATTTCACATGGTATAAATATCAATGAAAAAGATAATGTTGGGAAAACCGCTCTTCATTATGCAACATATTATAATAATAGAGAAACAGTCGAACTTCTTATTTCACATGGTATAAACATCAATGAAAAAGATAATGTTGGGAAAACCGCTCTTCATTATGCAGCATATTATAATCGTAAAGAAACAGCCGAAATTCTTATTTCACATGGTATAAACATCAATGAAAAAGATAATGATGGAAAAACCGCTCTTCATTATGCAACATATTATAATAATAGAGAAACAGCCGAAATTCTTATTTCACATGGTATAAACATCAATGAAAAAGATAATGTTGGGAAAACCGCTCTTCATTATGCAGCAACTGGAAATAGTAAAGAAACAGCTGAAGTTCTTATTTCACATGGTATAAATATCAATGAAAAAACTAATGATGGAGAAACTGCTCTTCATATTGCAACATCTTATAATAATAGAGAAACAGCCGAAATTCTTATTTCACATGGTATAAATATCAATGAAAAAACTAACAATGGGAAAACCGCTCTTCATTGTGCAGCATATTATAATCGTAAAGAAACAGCCGAACTTCTTATTTCATATGGTATAAGCATCAATGAAAAAGATAATGATGGAAAAACCGCTCTTCATATTGCAGCAGATCATAATGGAAAAGAAATAGCCGAACTTCTTATTTCATATGGTATAAGCATCAATGAAAAAGATAATGATGGAAAAACCGCTCTTCATATTGCAGCAGATCAAAATAGTAAAGAAACAGCCGAACTTCTTATTTCACATGGTATAAATATCAATGAATAAGAAAATTATGAAAACCTCTCTTCATATTATATTACTTTATAATAGTAAATATATAGTGAACAGGATATTGTCATCAAAATAGTAAAGAAAAATTATGGGTTATGAAAAAATGAATATTGGAATAGTAATCTCTGTTAAATTGCAGATATTGTTGTTATAAATTTTTTAATAATCCCAATTTTGGCCTTCCTCTCAATTTTTTCTATCAACTTCACTTTGACACGTAAAGATTATGTGTTAAAAATTTATTTACTGTATTAGATGTTAAAATATGCATAGATATAGATCATAGATTATGTGTGCAAAATTATAAAAAATTCTATCGAATATTCATAATTTTTTTCACTCATTTGGCCTAATGAAAAAAAGGAGAAAAAATAAAAAAAAAGCAATGAGAAAAATGGTCATCGATGAAGACATCACTTTGAGGTATTTTTAAATACTGTATCTTATAGGGAGGAAATATGTAATGGGCATTTGGACTGAGACCTAGTATTCGCCAAGATCTGCGACACCAAATTTGAAAATTTTTAACAACAGCTTCAAATTCTAAAACGATATTATGGGAGACTTGTCAAATTGTTATTAGTAAACTCCTCAATTTGTTGGATTCTAGAGATATTGAATCGAAATAAAAATAAATTTGTCTAGAATATGTCTCTTCTCAGAGTTTATTAGGGATATTTTTGTACAAATATAAAATATAACTTTATTGTAAAAATAAAAATAATAAAATACAAGAAATTATAAGCCACTTACTCTTGTTTTGCTTCTTTGTTATCTCCTTTATCTTTTTCTGAGCTGTGCAAATCTCCTGGCTTTCCACAATATAAATCCAAGTGTTTAATGTTAAGAATGCGAAGGCTGGTGCCATCATCTCTTGTTCTGTTATTATCAAGCTTAACAAACTCCAATGGAAGGAATTCTGGATTGACTTCGCTTCTAATACCGTCTAATGCGTAAATAGGAGATTCAAGAAGGGCCGTAGGACGTCTGACCATCTCATTCGAAAGGAGTTGAGTAAGCTGGCTATCGAATTCGACGCTTTGTTGAGATTTGTTGTCCTGAGATTTGCCCATCTCTTCGATCTCTTTCTGTAAGTTGTTTTGGTCTCTTGATCTGCGGGCTTCTGCATCTGTGTTGTCTGGAGCTGATTCAGGAAGAGGTGTTGCTGTATATTGATAAGTGTAAGTATTTGGAAAATTCGGGTAAAAAGCAGGGATATGGGATTGCTTGCCTTGGCTTTGCTTCATTTCTGGAGGGTTGTAAATTCTGAAAGGCATTGGCTTCTCCCAAAGTTTTGGTTCCGAATTCATTGGTCTCTGTTCTTGAGGTTTTAGTTGCTGTTCATAGAATGGATTTATATTCTTTTCGAATGCTGGATAATTGTCAACAAAGAATTCGAATGGAGTGATGAGTTTATCTGCTTGAGATAAGAAAACTGTTAAGGTACTGACGGATTCTCTATTAGGAAGATTGTTAAGAGCAAAGAATAGATCGTAACCATTTGTATCGATACGACCGCAATGGTTTGTTACCCTTGTTGAATTTGTACAAACTTCTCTGATGTTTGCTATAACTGCTTCAACTAGAATGTCTAACGCAGTCTCAGAAATAGTAGAAAAGCCACATTTTTGGGCAGTTTGCGCAATAATAATTTTGAGGATTTGCTCTGTGAATTCGTCAGACATTTCTAGTTTACAATAATCGTTAAATTTAGAATAATCTTCATAAAAATCCTTATTTTTGTGAAAATATTATTATCTTAATGATTTCTAACAAATGTGAATTCCAAAATTTTTTCAAAATCCATATTTTGAATTTAAAAATTGTTGAAATTTTTTTCATTTTTCAAAAAATAAAAAAAATTTAGAATAAAATGTATTAAATTCACGAATTCTACATCGATAACCTCATTATATTTTTCATATATTTTTATATTCTTTTCTTAATTATGTTATTTTAACAAGAATTTCAAAAATTTGTATCCAAAATAAGGAATTTGTTTGATTATTGTCAATAAAAACATAATGAATCAATTCAGGAAAAGTATAAACAATTATTTATTAGCAAAATAATATTGTATGTAAAGAAATGAGAAAAATAATAAAAGAATTATCAGTTAACAACTTGTTCGAGTTCAATAAGTCTTCTAACCAACATTACAGCCATGTGATCCGTCTCTTCAGCCTCTGCAACGGCGTCTCCCTCCTTTTCCTGACTAATTTCGTCGTAAACCTTGCGGAAGAGTTCGAATCCTAAGTCGTTCTCAATTTTCTGGCGAAGTTCCTCGATGCAGTAAGTCAATGATTGGTTTGCTGGATTTTCATCGAATTTTTCTCTTGATCCGTCCAAGAATTTCCATGTATCGCACTCCTCAGGTGATTCCAGTGCTTGTCTGATAGCGTTGGCCGCTTCTGCAATTTCGTTGTGGTCATCTTCATCAATAAAATCATCTTCGAACTCATTATCGAAATTAGCGTGGCATGGCTTAGTAGGTGAGAGTTCTGACTCATCTATGAAGTCATCTTCGTATTCTGGCTTCTTTGGTTCAGGTTTCTTGGTTAATTGGCAGAAATTAGCTGGAAGGAAGCGTTTCTGCTTTGTAGTAATGATTGTTTCGCGTTGTGTAGCTAAATCGCCCATAGCGGATTTGACGAAAGGAAGTTTGAGGATTTGAGCTGTTGATGGACGCTCCATTGGGTTTTTAGAGAGCATACCATCAACTAAACGACGGATTTCTTGAGGGTATGATGAAGGAATAGGCTTGTAATGGCCTTTCATGAGGTTATTAAACAATTGTGCTGTATTATTGCCTTCGAAAGGTTTTCTAAGGGTACACATTTCATACAAGAGAACACCGAGTGAATATATATCTGCTTTTTCGTTGTAAGGGTCTCCGCGCCAGAGTTCTGGAGCTAAATAGTAAGGAGTACCAATCATAGTGTGAGCAAGCTCAAATGAGTTAGCGAGGGACTTAGCTACACCGAAATCACCAAGTTTGACGACATCGTTCTTTGTAAGGAAAATATTTTGCGGCTTAAGATCGCGATGAAGGACGAGTTGACCGTGAATGTATTGCAATGCCATAGTAATTTGTACAAAGATATCAAGAACAGTTTGGACTGGTAAGAGCTGTCCGTTCTGCCTTAAAAGTTTATCATTTAAATCTCCTCCGTCTACGTATTCCATAGCGATGTATAAATGATTTCCAGTTGTCCAGGATCCCTTGTATGCAACAATATTTGGATGTTTCAGTTTAGAAAGAAGATCTACTTCAGCAAGAGCTTTTTCTTTTTCTTCATCGGTCATTTTAGAGAGTTTAACTTTCTTCAAAGCAACTTTTTCGTTTGTTTCCTTGTCTATAGCTAGGTATACCTTTCCATATGCACCTTCTCCAAGCTCATGCTGCAAAGTATATCTCTCCATTTTGTTCCAAACAGAGTTTTTCAAATCGTTATTTTTTTTTTGAAACGATTTTGAAAAAAAATATCGAACTCATAGAAGAAAGACTTTAATAATGCAAATAATTTAAAAATATTTATAATCTTATCAATTGTACATTTTCCATGCATAAGTGGTTGCATGCAAAAATTCATCATTCCTGCATAGATTATCACTTTCTGCCAATGTGACAATTTCAGTTTTTGTTCACTCTATCATTTCCACATTATTAAACTACAAAATTTCTCTTTCTTGATTCATTTTCTTCCAAATTGTCATTGATTTCCATGGAAAATGTACATTTTCACAAAGAAAAACGTAATATCTATACTTTAGAAAACAATAAAATGCTATCATTTTTGCTTATAATTCGAGATAAATTTATTGTCAACAATGATATTGATTGATGGAATCTCTGATTGTACACTTAAGCCACTAATATACTAAATATGCCTATTCACATAGTCACCATGTCTCATAACACATTTTTGTTTCAAAAATTGGGAAATCGCTGAATAACAGATATTTTCAAAACAATATCCCATGGATAATTATTCTTTTACTACTGTGAATATCGATTTTTGTTGTATTTTCGTTCAAGTGAATTTGATGGATATTTGAAAAAGTTGTCAAACATTGCTAATTCAATGTCACCTTTCCATGATAAAAATGTAATAATTGTAAAATATTAACAAGCATGAGTAAATAATAAGATAAAACCTTTACAGGAAAAAAGTGTAGTGAACTTCACAAAATACAACAAATGAAGATAAACATGTTATATTTGATCCTGTGCACATATTTAAGTGAAAAAATATACCCTATGATTAATTATTAAATCACTTTTTCAATTCAAAATAGACGTTTTGACAAAATATCATGTCAACCTGGGAACCAGAATCCGGGTTGGCTATTGCCAAATTTCCATTTCTTGCTAATGGACAGAAGCAAATTCCAATGCTTGCTGGCGATCAGTTTGAAATTTACCACAAATCAAAAGATTGGTACCATGGAAAGAATATATTTTCTGGTTTAGAAGGTATCTTTCCAAAATCCCATGTTGCGTTTTATCCTGGCCCCGGACAGCATCATAATATACTACTTTCGAAGCCAGAAGACTTACTTTTAAGGGAAGCTTCGATAGCATTCAGTAAAATCATCGAAGAAATCCAAGCCAAGCACAATTCAATTTCAGATGATGAGCGTCTTAAGCAATTTAATGTTATTTTCGATATGATTTCGAATATAGACTTTATGAAATCGAACCCGGACAAGGCCGAAACCTTCTTAGAGCACCATAGAAATGTAGCTTCTTGCATTGATGAAATCTACAAGATCCTCAACGTTAGCCTCAACTTGAGATCTTTCACGGCTTCTCCAACTACTATGACAACATGGGGCCGTGAAATGTTCGTCCAAGGACAAGAGGCGACCGTTAGGTACTCGTACCCTTCGTATACTCTTGTTCGATTGAGTATTGAAATCAAAAACTTGAAGAAACTGACAAGTTTCAGATTTGCAGTTTGCCAATCGAAAAACAGTCCGTTTACATCATCACCAATCTCATTCAAATTTGATCCAGCTGATTTTACAAAGGGAAATCCAAAAGTTGAATTACTCATCGATCAGTTAGATCTTTCTACGGTCAAAGATCAGATGTATTTAGCTATATATTCATATGATATCATCCCTATGAAGAGCGGCCACGACGATTGCAGAGAATGCAATTCTTGTGCGTTAGTTGAACTTCCAGTCTGCAGATCTCGTACAATCATCCAGAAATCACAGGAAAAACCAATCGTAAGAGAAGCAGTCTCCAGAATAGCTTCTGATGACAAGATTCAGAACCTTCATTTCGATCTCATCAAAGAGCAGGTCAAGACCGTTGGCATGTTAAGCTACGAGGTCAAATTCTCAGCTTACCAAGGAACTTACGATACATTGGTTGAAAAATTCCCTTCATTGGCCCATTGTACGAGAATCGACCCATTCTTCCTCCCGCAGACCGTTCTTCCGACTCAGAAGCGTTCAATTCTTTACTTTACAATCAAAGAAATCGAACAAAAGTCAAAATTCAAGCGAACAAGAATCGTAATTCGTCTTCTCGATAACCGCAATCAGTGCTTCATTCCTTGCATAGAAAATATCGAGTCCCACCAATTCGACCAAATTGCTTGGATTTCGGCTTCATTTAAGGGTATTCAGAATTTGAGGTCCTGCGAGACATTTGGTATCGATCTTTCTAAGACAAATACAGCCCTCGAAGACCTCTACCTCGCAATCGAGCTCCAACGCGCTGATGGATCAGTTAAACCGTCAGGATATACAGTTATTAAACTTGCCGGCCCGAACGGATGCCTTCCACAGAACTATTCGACAATAACATCGAAGCTCTACCACTTCTCAGTCAGAGATGAGTTTCCGAAAATTTCTGATTTCAATATCAACCCAGAGAAGCCAAGAGGCAAAGAAAAGGCACCGCAGTCAATCGGCCACATCATCTACACCCTCTCCTTCGCTTCAACAAACTTAACGAACGACGAAACCCTCTATAATCTCGTAGACTACAATGGAAACAACAATAACCTTAACATAACGCTCAGCAACTGGCAGAACATCCAACTCTCCGAGTGGTCGAAGTTCGTCAGAGAGCTTCTCAAGAATTTCTGCTTTATCATCGCAAACAACTCAGCATTATCGAGCCAGGCATTCCAATGCTTACGTACGATCTTTACTTTGATATCTGTGACACCTTCTTACGGTGCACATATCAAATTATTGGATGAATTCGTCGAAGGAGACTTCCCACGCATAATCAAGGAGAACAACAGCCTCGGAGAATTCTGGCTAATTATTGGCCAGATAAACGAAGAGTTTACAAAGCAAGATACAAATACTATGGAATATAGAAACTTAATCAAGGTTTCTCCATACATTTTGAGGCTCGTCGCAACATCCTTCAAAGCTTCAGTCATCGATCTCAAGATGAACAAGATGATTGACAGATATAAAGAAAATATCACCCCAATTTTCCAGAAATTATCCGAAATCGTAAGCGAATACAACCCAGACGATCCACCGCAGATCAAATCCCTCGTTTTCGCTAAACAACAGCTCATTTTGAGGTACTTTGCCCAAATTATTGCAGCAATCCACTGCAGTTTCGTAGGAGAAGACGTAAAATGCATCACAGACTACGTAGTTAATTTCATTAAGGCAATCAGATACCATCCAGAGGACAGAAAGCAAGTTCCAATCGACAAATCAAAGCTCCGTGTTATGCTTGCACTTTCTACAACCGAATGCTGGCTCAACAAGACCGAGAGAGACATCCTGAAGCCTCTCTTCGCCGAGGAGCTCAACAGGGCCGCTAAACTTCCTCATTGCATTGAATTGGTCGTCGTAGTTCTTGCGTCACTTTTCTTTTCGGTTCGCGATGATTTTATCGTTCAATTTATTCCACTATTAAGGGACGTTTTCTTCCATCCTATTCCTGAGAACTTGACTCACAGGACACCTCTGATCAGACTGATCCTTACTGTTGCCTTCACAAATCCGAAAGTATTCGTAGAAGAACACAATGACTTGATTATCGAAGTTATGAAGTCCAAAGAGATTGGTCCACAGGAGAGATTGTTCCCATTCGCCCACTACTTGAGAGAGAACGCCAAAGTTCTCAAGAAGAAGATGGCTGACGACAAATTCAAACTCAAAGTTGACTTATTATCATCATACTTAGATTTATCCATCGAAGCACATAACTGCTCATCCAACGGTCAACTCCATGAAATGATTTATCCAAATGTTTCCGATTTCACCGTAATTAACCAGTTAATGCAGGAAGTCAAGCGAGGAGACCTTCCTCAATTCGGTGGAATCTTACTACCACTCATGACATGTTACGCCCTCTACTCCAGTTCCGATAACAAACTTACAGATCTCATGGAAATTTACTTATTCCTGATGCCTGTTGGTTTGACCGTCCCAACAATGAGGGCCATCTACACATTGAGGAAAGAGCCTGGCTTTGAGAGGGTTATGAACCTATTTGACCCTGATATCTGTCCAGATCTTTATAAGTTCGCTTATTACACATCCAACATCACGAAAGAAGAGCAGATCGAAGCCAACCAAGACTTACTCGTCAATTCATACCTCGGACTGACCGATTACTGCAGAAAGAACGAAATCAACGAATTTATTCCAGAATTCTCCTGCAAACTCGCCGAATTACAAGCCATGTCCAAATCCAACATGCTCGAAGCCGCCCTGTGCATTGTACACTGGTGCAGACTCGTTACTCCCAATGATTTGCCACCAGATTCTCAATTAAAGCCAAATATTCCATTTATGAAGCTGCAACCAGCAAATCTGAACGAGGGCATTGACGAGAAGTACATCATTGATCCACAACTCCCAACAAAGAGAGTTTGCAGATCAATCCGCGATATTCTTTTTGCTCTCTACGTGAAAGCGATCAAACTCGTACAAGACGCGATGGTTCCAGACTTTGCACTCGACATCATCCGCGAATGCAAGGAACGCGTGATTTTTGATCGTAAATTACGGATCATGGGATTATTAGACGAACTTTTAACTCTCGAGAGCCAGATCTACACTGCAACAGCTGCAGAACACATTTTCTTCTACTACTACCGCGTTGTTTTCTTCGGCAACGGCTTCAAAGAGTTCTATCGCAACAAGACAATGATGTACAGAATGAGCGGCTTCAAGAACATCAACCAGTTCATCAAAGACTTGAAACTGATGTTCCCTGGCTGCAACGCGCACCAGTCACAGAAAGAGTTCGACAAAGAGAAAGAGACACTCGATCCACAGAACGGCATGGTCATTTTGGCCACAAACTGCGAACCAACATCACAACAGGAAGTTGACGATGTTTTGGCCATTCCTGACTACGGCGGAAATGGTCCTAAATTCATCGGCAACTTCAAGAAGATTGAGAGTGTCTCTGTCTTCAGGACACGCATTGGCAAACCACAGAAAGGAAAGGAGTACGTGAATGAGTTTGCAGGAGCATTCACTGAAGAAACAATTTACTTCACTGACGGATCATTCCCTGGATTGACAAGATGCATTCCTATACAGAACGAGAAGACACAGACAAGAATGATCACTCCTATTGAGAACGCAATCATAACAATGAAATCAAAGGCTATGGAAGTCATAACAGAAATGAACACAATCAATTTCTGCGAGCAAACTAAGTCAGGAACTCCAAATGGCCAACAGATTTTGTTGTTGATATCTGGTATTGTTGATGCTGGTGTAAATGGTGGTACACAGATGTACATCGACGCTTTCTTGAAGCCAGACTTCTTGGAGAACCATCCTGATGAAGAGAAACACGTAAAACAGTTGAGAGAGTGTTTCTCAGAAACAGTCAGAATTCTTAACAAAGCAATGGTTGTCGCTGGAAGACACGTTCCTCCGGGAATGGACAAGAAGTACGAATCTGCTGTGGCTGCTTTCGGTCCTTTGAAAGATAACTTCAAATCAATCGGAATAGAAATCGATGAAGAATAATTTTAATATTATTTCTTTTATTTTTTTTTATTTATTTTTTATATTTTTTTATATTAAAAGGTAATTTTAAAATTTTTGAATTCAAAATAATCGTTTTTGAGCAAATTTTTATATAAGAGTACCGGAAATAAGTTGTTGACGCCGAAAAAAAGTTGTATAGACAGAGGATTTGTTACTGCCAAATAATTAAAAACTACATAAAGTATCATAATACATCCCAAATTCATGTCTTAGCAAAAAATTTATAAAATCATATTTATTCTTTTGTTGTCATTAATAATATGATAAACTTGTCAATGAGTGATTGGTTATATATGCATTTAATCGAAAATCAGATCTGAATATTATATATGCATACTTCTATAAGTATTTAAACCAAGTAATCGTATTTTTTTTTTAATATTCAGATCTGATTTTCGATTAATTAAGGGTGCACTTACCACTTTCTGACACTCTCTCAAAAAGAGATATACGGGCGTGAAGAGGCATAGAAAATAAAACCTTAAACAAGAAATTTGAGAGCATGTCAGAAAGTGGTAAGTGCACCCTTAAAAAAATTCAAAGTGAATTTTCGTTTGCGCAAACTGAAGCCTTTTAAATTCCAGAAATATTATTATTGTTTAATAAATGCTGTTTATCTTCTTAAATATTTACTATGTAGGATGCCGTAAACATCATTTGATTGGGTGATTTTTGGGTCAAAGAAACAATTATCTGTATAGAAAAATGGAAAATAATTATTATTAGATTCGCTTATCAAATTTGTAATTGTGACGTTTCCTCTGGTAATTATATTTTGATGGTAAATAAATGAATTTGTAACAGTCAAAGAAATATCTTTTCTATAATGTTCTTGAAGTAGACAGATTGCAAAATTATTCATAAAGTTAGAGAATTCAACATTAGTTGTTCCTTCGCACCAAAAAATTACATCATCATATCCTGCAATATTTCCTATAATGTTGCAATAAGCAAAATTAGTTATATCTTTTGGAGTATATATTCTTAAAGATTGATGTGAGATAGTACTTTCATAAAACTGGTTATTTTCTCTAAATTCTGAATACCTACAAATACCTTGACTTCCATGAACATTCAAATTCATTGATGATAATCGTTGGCATTTATTTTTCGTTATATTGCAATTTGAAATAAGAATATCACCATTTGATATATGAATTGTTGCAAATCCTGTAGTTTCATTCAAACCACAACTAGAAACTGTAACTTGTTTTGCATAATTTTTGTGTGATGATATTTTTTTAACACTCTGTGAGAATGCTTGATGACCAAATTTTGCTATTGATTCGCAATAACATACTTGTTGTTGAACAAATTGACCTGAATTTGGGCAATAAAAGTAAACTGACCCACCATAAGATGTTGAACTACATTTTCGAAATACGCTATTTTCAACTAATGTACAGATGTTGTTCGAAGTTTCGAAATAAATTGCACCGCTAATCTTGCACTTTATAAATAGACAATTTAAAACATAGTAATTGGTATTACCTGTATTATCATAAATCTTCTTATTATCATGCGTTTGAAGATAATTTTCTTGATCTTCAAAATATTCTTCCCAATTTCGTTTTCTGGCTGTGCGGGTTCTTGTGTTCAAAATTTTCATGATATTTTAACTCTTCGACAGAGAAAATTTTGAAAAAGATTTAATTCAATTTTGTTCAATTCAATATTGAATGTGTTATAAGATTCATTATAAAAATGTATTCTTTAATAGAGTGTTATTATACATAATACTTATAATAATGGAAATTAAAACCGCTGCACCATTCATTTCAATCTATAATTATAATTAGTCTGGTGAATTTTATAATCATAATTCCATTGACTTTAATTGAAGGCCTTTGAAACTCAAGTTCTGCAACGTCACGTAAATCATTCTAACTTTTTTTAAAATTCAATTTCTCAAAAATTTCTGAAAAACCGCTAGATTCATTAGGATTTGATCTTTTTTAGTATTCAATTTCCTATAATGCCGGCGAGAGACATATGCAGATTCTCTTTGGTTATTGCGTTGATTTCCAAAAATAAAAAATAAAATACAATAAATATTTTAACAATACTCTACTTAAGCCAAGGACTGCTAAATTTATGAAAAGTCATATCATTCTCGTCAATATGGATATTGCCAGTGAAAAGAAAATTTTGAAATTTGATTTTTTTTTTATAATCGAGTGCAGAAATACTTATCATTGTCTAAGGTGGAGATACGCGAGAGCTAGATCTGTATTTGTCCACACTTTTGGTCATATTTTGAAAAACAAATTAAAATTAATTAACTTCGAAGATTTTAGTATCAAAAAGTGTTTTATGCCCCTATACAAGTAAAGCAATACTGACACGTCTTTGTAGATCCAGATTTAATGTTTTGCCATATGAGCTTGAACTCTCAATATGGCGACGATAAAAATTGAGTAAGGTTTACTTTGATCATCTTCCATTCACAGGGCAAATGAACCTCATTTCAGGACTTAATATTTATAATATCTTTGGATAATATATTCAGCGATATCATCTCTTAGGCCACCATTATTATTGTGGCAAACCCAAATTTTAGCTAAAAGTGACAGGGAAAAAAAAACGTTTAGTATTAAAAAAAAGACCGATGAGAGCTTCGTTCGAAATATAGAGGAAACTGAGAATGCGCAACCATTCTCAGGGAATATTGGATGCTATTCCCGTTCCCTCTGTATGGAAAATTGAGGTTTTCAAAGGGAGTTAAAATAATATCAAATTTATACTAATTTACTTCAAAATACAAAAGTATTTGACAGCTAAAATTAGTTACTTTAGCAAGCCTATCAATACCCTTTTACGATTATTGCTACTTTTTCGAAATAAAAGTAAAAACAAATTTATACTAATTTACTTCAAAATACAAAAGTATTTGACAGCTAAAATTAGTTACTTTAGCAAGCCTATCAATACCCTTTTACGATTATTGCTACTTTTTCGAAATAAAAGTAAAAACAAATTTATACTAATTTACTTCAAAATACAAAAGTATTTGACAGCTAAAATTAGTTACTTTAGCAAGCCTATCAATACCCTTTTACGATTATTGCTACTTTTTCGAAATAAAAGTAAAAACAAATTTATACTAATTTACTTCAAAATACAAAAGTATTTGACAGCTAAAATTAGTTACTTTAGCAAGCCTATCAATACCCTTTTACGATTATTGCTACTTTTTCGAAATAAAATAAATTTATTATCAAAAACCTTTTTTTTCTTAGTAAAAATAAAATGTTATTTTATATCAAGTTTTTATTCATAAATTTTATAATGTTGTATAAATTTGAAGGTGGAAATCTGTAATAATTTTATCTTGAAAAGACTTGGCATTCTCAACAATGAATTGAGGGGTATTGCATCCAAATTCTGTAATTTGCGTGAGAATACTAAGCTTGATTTCCATTGGGATACTTAATTTCGAAAAATACCGGGTCATTCGTTTTTGAACCTTTGCTGCCTTGACAACTTTATCAAGTAGGTCATCTAAACCCAATTGAAGCGTATTTAAGTTTGCTGATGAGTTAACTATTAACGATTTAATTTTATCAGTGAGCATTATACATTTTTCTGTATCCAGTCTGAATGTAGACTTTTTTGGCTTTTTTTCAGATGGCAACGGATTTGGAATTTTGTCTCTGAGCCTTATATCTTGAGAAATTCTGTAATAAAATGAAGGAACGATAAAATCGATTAATTTCATCACAAATCGATCAAATCTCATGAAAATTGTTCCGCCAAAGTAGTAATATTTAATTTTTTTGTTAATCGATTCTGAAATGTTATTTGTGAGAGCTAAATTTTCATCTCTTTCAGCGGCTGTCCATCTTTCTTGGTTTGATATCCATTGATTTTGTATGTATTTTGAAAATTCTGGGAATTTTTCGGTTATTTCCAGAATTTTTTTGAACGTTGGTTCAATCCATTCTTTCTTGCCATTTCTGCCGTATGCAAGATAGTTCATTTTTGTATCTAATATCAATTTGTCTGAACTCTCAAATGCATAATCTTTCAAATTTTTTCTGAACGCCATCATTACATGAACTGCACACCAATGAAGGATAACTTCTGGAAAAGAGTTGATAATCGCATTTTCGATTTCTTGTGCACAATCTGACATAAAATATTTTGGTTTTACTTTTGCCCAGTTAAAAAATGCCTTGAGACAGAATGCAATATTTTCTGAAGTGTTTGGATAAACGACAAATTGAAAAATTGGGAATGCATGTGTATTTGGAAATTTGGCTGATATCATGTAAAACAACTAAGGGTTTCGTTTTGCGAAAAAAACGTACAATACGCAATTTCGCTTAAAAAACATTTAGCTAGCAATTTCGACCTTTGACTCCACTCAAGACGTCACTTTTTTAATTTTGCGGTATCATATTTTTGGAAAATCTTTATGAATATTATATAAAAAGTCTCTTTAATATCTATATTTCATATTTTTATCGATTTTTAAAGTTTTTGCGAAAAGTATTCAATTATTTTTGCTATTTGGTCGGGTAAATGTCAGATTTGCGACATTTTCTGATATGATATTCAGATTCTACGTTGATAATAATGCTTATAGAACCCTCTTGCTATTGTGTCAAAATTGCGAAACCGATAACAAAAATATCTCGCAATATCAAAATTGAGATATTGAGTGAATTATGCATTATAGAGATTAAAAATCTGATTTGTGAAAACATCTCATCAGTTTCTAGCTAATTCAAAAATCTTTACTATCTTATTCGATTAAAATGAAAAGGGAATAGTTTCATTATGTTTTAAATGACAGCCTTATAATATAATCATAGTTTTCGCTCAATATGTAGCATTTTTTTTTCGAAATCTATGGTCAATATCCTAAATACTGATTGCTTTGCATTCATATCTCTTACATTTTCTATACCCACATCAATATTCATTGCTATTCCTATCTTTTTCATTTTTGTTTGTTTCTCATAATTTCTCAAAAAACATGATAACTTGATATTTGTAAATATCATACTTTATAACGTAAATAAGAACTTGACCTATTAAGAAAAGCAGTAATGAAAAGAAAATCTGAAATTCATAAAAATTACAAGTTTCTGATGACAATTAGCTTAATTAAACCAGGTACAAGATTATATAATTGTATTTTCTATCCAATTATCCATATAATATCTTATCCAGAAAAAATAACTTGATCAATATCAAATGATTTTTTAACTAGTAAATAAAGTATTTTCTTTACACACACATTGTATATCATAGTTTTTTTTTTGGTTTCGCAAAACATCCAAAAACAAATATGCTATAAAAGTGACAATTTTAGCAAAACGAAACCCTTAAAACAACATTTTAAATTCAAGTAATGAATGGGTTGCATCAATAAAATGCTCTTTCACAATTTTGATTATGTCCAGAAATTTGAAAGAAGCATAATAAAAGATTAATTTCTTTGGTTTGTTGTAATTATCGACATCGAAATAAATTAAATCTTTTGGTGACTCTTGTTCTTTGATACCCTTAAATAATTGAGTTGACTTGAATCGATTATCATCGTACTTTTGAATACCTTTGATCTTTTTATTTCCTTTTTCCTGAATTGTTTTCATTTGATCTGAATATGCATTCAAAAAAGATGGCCTGTTAAGTGGATCATCCAGATCAAGTTTTTTGTCGCATTCAATTTGAGCCATTTTCGGATCACCCCCCTGTTTTATAAAATTAATAAGTACCCGACGATAGCATTGTGATAATGTGTGGTATTTCTTTGTCTCATCTTTGATTTGATTGTGATTATGTGTTCCATTATATTCTGTTAGGATATATTCTTCATCATCCTTTAGAAATGAGATACATGCTTCACATTTATCTGCACTGCACCTGAATTTTAATTTTGTTCCCCCTAAATTTGGATTTTTTTTAATTGATATGGACAACCTGCATGGCATTCGTTATCAATGACAGCTTTCATAGCATCTATATAAGATAGCCTTTCTTTAAGTTCGCATGGTGCATCGATATGCATCAAAAAAATGAAATGAAATTTCAATATCAAAAAAAGCACAAAATTTGAAAAAATTCACAAATCTCGGTTTCTGAAAGAAAATGGCCTCTTAAACTTTGTGCATATATTCATCTATAAGACACATTGTATCCATATATTAATTAGCCAACACAACTTATCTGGTATCGAGAAAATTCAAAAAAAGCACAAAATTTGAAAATTGCTCGGTTCTACATTCAAAATAAATTTCATTAATTTTTACGTACATATTAAGGTACTTATCTTCTACATATATAATCTTCATTAGATATATACATGATAAATAAAATTCATAAAACATTAAAAATCAAAAAATTAGATGAACCTTGGCAATTAAACTTTATTAAATAATAGTTGTTTATAAATTATATTATATTATTATTTAATATTATTTTGATAATGAAGATTTTATTTTGCAATAATATAAAAAGGTAACTAAACTACTTTCGCCGATCCGATTTGCTCCATATTTAAAATATAGCTTGCATATGTAGAAGAAAAGCTAATTTTGAAGTACGCCCGAAATCCACCAACAGGATTTCGAGCTACTAAAAAGGTACTTTTAAATGTAATTTTTTTTATAAAAAATTAAATTTATTTTAAGATCAGACTAAAAACCAATTTTATGGAAAATCTATATCGACAAATTTATTACTTATTGGGTATATAGATTTTTTGATTATGGCGATTATGTCTGATATGCTTCCAATAAGCCAAAACACATTTCATACTGATTTCTATAAAAGGTATCTTTATTATAGAAGTGTAAGCTATATCTGTTTGTTTTTTTATTATAACAAATTCAAAATTCTCTTATAAGGACTAGATGAAATCTGTATTATTAAATCATTAGCTAAATGAAGGTTCAAATAGAAAGTAAATATCAATTTATATGATACTGAAACCAAATAGTTCTTTTAATAAAAGATAACACGCTGAAAATTATTGAGTATTTGCAAATCTCAAAAATCTATTGGTGAATTTGGCTCAACTTTTAAAATTATAACATCCATATCAAATCATAAAAGCAGACAAAAATTAAAGCCAAACCTATCGGCCAATTTTTTTTTGATATTTTGATTTTTGAGGTATACTTTTAAAAGTGGATTTAAAGCACTTATGAAAAAACATTAACTTCTGTCGTTATGATTATTGATTTAGACAATAATGATTTTAATCTTTGATTATCAAAACACTAAAGTCATCTTTTTAACATTTGCTTGGTAGCATTAACTCAAGTCTAAAGTACTATTTTATGTGGCACTCTTAGAATTTTTGTATTCATTGTACACGCTGAAATAGTACTATTAAAGTTATGGCGGACTTTCAAAAAATAGTTTGGTCACCTTTTAATATAAACGAAATTTTTTACCTTATGAACTTTTGATGGAAATATGCAAATTTAAAATAATAAAGAAAGCCGCGAGCGAAGCGATCGGCTTAGTTCGAAGATTTTGATTCAAATCTTTGCTGATCTGTAATTCGCGGAAGCCGCGAGCGAATCGAGCGGCTTAGGTCTAAGATTTTGATTCAAATCTTTGCTTATATTCCTTAAATTCTTTATGAAACTCGCAACAGTTCCATAAAAAATTTTAAATTCTAAACTGTCGAAATTACCGATCGGTAATCACACCCTTCACGGGTGTGTCACTTTTAGCTAAAATTACCCCTACTCTTATTATTGTTGGCTGACCAATTTCAGAAGAAAAATAACCTTTCGACAATGATTGCATCTTTATGATGTGTTAATCACAAAGTTATGAACAATTCTATTTTTTGCTTTTAATAGAATTTACAGCACCTGGAAAATCTTTTGATTTTGCAAACAAAGTCACACCACCGCAAAAGCATGTTCTTCAGTTATAACTTATCATGGACATTTGTTTGTTAGACTATTAAATATACAGGTTTGAAACAATAAGAATAATTGTTTTTCTCTCTTTGAGAACTAATCTGAATTATATCTATAAAGATAAATCAACCATAAACTACAGCAATAAACCTCTTTAGTTGCCACCATTGAAATGAAAGCTTCGGGGCCTGAAAAAAATTAGAAAACACAAAATTTTCTTAATTTATATTTTTGAATGTTCCCTACCAAACAAATCGCTCTAATCGCCATTTCGAGCGTTATTCCAACTCAATGGATTTCAGAGGGAATGTCAGAAGATTTTTTATTTTCTTCCATATTCTATCGTTTTTTCGGTTTTTAATTTGATTTTTGGTATCAAATATAAACCAAGATTTTTAACAAAAAATTGTTGATTTAGTCTAACGTTCATGCATTCAATTTGAAAACAGTTAAAATTGCTTGGTATAAATGGATGCATATAGCATGTAGATAAACATTTTGTTCTAAACATTTTTCATAATTGTGGTCTTTTTTTTTCATTCTACAAAAAATTCATATTATGGATTACGTTCGTCCAATCATTGTTCGTCATGGATATTCAGTGGAACGTGTTTTAAACAACCAGCAGTATGAATCTTCCTATATAGTTAGCAAGCCAGATACTGGCAAACAATATTGCATCAAAGCAATTGTTTTAGGACACGTTGATCAGGCAATTATTAGCAGTTTTTTGGAGCCTAATAGTACTCTTCTCAAACGAACTGCACATCCTAACATTCGATCAATCCAAGACTATTTTATTGATACAAATTGCTATTTTCAAGTCATGGAGTATATTCCTAAGGGAAGCATACGCAGATATATAGACCATGCTGGAAAAGTCTCAATAGATGACTTACACTCTTATACAAGCCATCTTTTACAAGCTGTAAATTATATTCACTCAAACCAAATAGCTCACCATGATATTAAACCATCGAATTTAATGATCGATGATTTCAACAGACTCAAACTTTCTGATATCGATTTAGCTTCATACTGCGTGAATGGCTTATGCAACAGCTTTCATGGATCATTGCAGTATATAGCTCCAGAAGTAATCAACCAGATACCACATGATCCGTTCAAAGCTGATGTATGGGCTATAGGCGTTTGTTTGTATGAAATGGCTACAGGAGTTCTCCCATGGAGAAGTACTTCGCTTGCAGACCTCAAGAATGAGTTGTCTCTCGGATATTACACATTTCCTTCTGAAATTCCTTATATTATCCAGGCACTTATTCAAATGTGCTTGATTCCAAATCCAAACGAAAGATGCAACCTCAGAGACTTACTTGCAGTTCTTCAGGGTGTTCAGCAGCCACCAATTCCAAGAATGCCAAGAATCAAAGAAATTCCAAGTTCCCAGCTTAGTTCACGCGCAACACCTATCAAGAGTGGAATTGGAAGCAACAAAGTAAGCAGCACAGGTTCATTGCCACCTCTCAAACCAAGATTGAACGATCTTTAATATCTTTTTGTCTTTATAAATAAAAATTCTGTCCATTTGTTGTTGATCATTCACTAGTCTTTAGAAATTATTACTTACATCGTTTTATTTGATTATTTTTACAAATTCATTACACACTTATGCTCTGGAGCGAACAATGATAATATAATCGCACTGAATATAGTTATGTTAGTTGATTCATATTGAATAACGAAGTTTATTGTTTTCTCCAAAAATAAGTAGTAGGATAGGAAGGGTTGTGTGACTTTTTTTGTTACATCTATATATAGACGATGCATTAAAATATATTTATATACTAAACACATTAAAAAATTAACATTAATTTTAAAATAATTTATTTTTTTATCTTTTATAAAAGAAGCTATATATAGATGATGTCAGATATTCCGCGATTAATTAAACATTGTTTAAATCCTGAATGGAATCAATGGAGTCATAATCAAAGACCTCATAAACGAGAAGAAGAAATTGAAAATAATTATTTTCATGAATAAAAGATTCACTACCATAATGAAATAAAAAATAAAAAAATAAACTTTAAAAATTCAATGTCTTACATTTATGAAAATTTATTTTTATTTTGTATGAAATGAGCGTCAAGACTAACGACGTGAAAACATTAGGATTCATGTCTCAGAATCAACATAGAACTTTAAGAAACTAATGATTATTTGAATTTATGAAATCAATTATTTGATTCATTCTTTCTTCAATCTCTTCTATTCTTTTTGTTAAATCATCAATTTTCATTAATGAGGTGATTCTTGATTGAGGAATAGATTTCAAACTAACCACCCCCTTTATTTTTGAAATTTTGAATCCATCAACTTTAAACATTTTATTCAATTTACATGTTGTCAATTCTTCAAATAATTTTTTATTATTAGCATAATAGTCATTAAATTCTTCAACAGATGAAAAAATTTTTATTTCAGTAATTGGTTTAACAATGTTAATTTTTTGTTGAACATTTTCACTTTCATTTATTTCTTCCTCCTCTGTTTCATTTATTTTTAAAATCGGTTTCATTTATCATTAAATAAAAATTAGAATATAAGTGATGAAATATATTTTTTAATTAATATTAAATCAACTATGGCGGCAGGATTCTTTAAAAAACTGTGGGATGGAATTAAGAAAGCTGCGGGTTGGGTTTATAAAAAGATTATTAAACCCGTTGCAAACTTTTTGGCACCAGTAGCGAAAACGGCAGGAACTATCATAGGTGGAGTATTAGGTACTAAAGCAGGTAATCCAGCGATGGGAGCACAAGCAGGTAACGCAGTTGGTGGAATTGCTGAAGGAATACTTAATAAAATAGGAGGTAGATAGTGGAAAAATAAATAAATATTATTTTTATCTTAGTATCGGTTGAAGTCTTTGATAAACTTTTTCTCCTTTATTTAATATTTCTCTTATTGGGGCAGCTTTTGGCGTTATTGATTCAGCAACGTCACTAATTGCTTCTTTATTCTTAAATATCCAATTTGCTCCCTTCTTCATTGTTTCCCAAACTTTATGCGCTCCTCTTTTTACTTTATCCCACAGTTTCTTAAAGAATCCTGCAGCCATAGTTGATTATTTCATTAAAATTAAAAATTCATTTTCATCTTTTAATTTTGATTTTTTATTTAATAATAAATGACGACTAACTATTTGGTGCCAAACACTAAACCGATTAATGGGAATGTGTTTCATTCATTCGAAAAGATAAATGAAATATTCGCAAAGAATGACGGTAGAAGATATTATAGAGAACTTGAAAGTTCATGCTATGACTCTGATGCTCCATATTTTGATGATAAACAAACTCATTTAAGAATTACAAATCCGGCTCATGATGTGAACCAATTAGGTGACACATATATTAAACGCAAAGTTAAAGCAACTCTAGTTTCAAATAAAGCTTTCACATGTGATGCCGCTTTTAAATGCATGCGTTTATTCGTTGGTTACAAATCATCAAATCAAAGCTTTAAACAATTAGAAGTAGAAACCGAAAGAGGTGATGCCGGTTATCTTCAGATGGATTGCGCCCGTGAATCTTTCGCATTTGCAACATATAAACCAAAATCAGAAAGGAAAGTTAAAAAGTTTGTTCATTCGTTATATAATAATGTTCAAAAATATGATAACTCAGTATGTGGTAAATATATTGACCCTTCAGAAGTTTTCAAGAGAGCAAATGAAGAAGTTGATGTCACTTTTGATATGATTATTCCGGTAAATGATTTGTTAGCATTTCAGGCGTTCGATGATTATCCTAAATCATTTGGTGAAATCATTCTTAAATATTATGTTTTCAGGGATACTTTAGTATTTTGTCAGGTTGACCCGTTAAGAGTTGCTGATTTACAAAATTACGTTTATGAAAAGATAACTGATGAAAATTATGAAAAGATTATGAATCATGTTTATAAATATGATCGCAAATTCCAACAAATCGGACTTCCTACCAAATTAATTACAAGCTTAGCCGCTACATCTGCTGACGCAACAGTTGATGACGTTATTATTTCATGCACAAAGATGGAAGTTTTAGAGGATAAATGCATTACACCAGGATACGGTTTAATTGAAGAATCAGTTAAAGCAATACCACGTTTATTCAGTAAGGAAGATCCATTCATGATTCCAGCTCAACATATTGACGTTCGTTCACTAAATGGAGGTTGCATCACTCCTGAAGGTATCAGCTCAGATTTCTCATACGCTCTTCATAATGTTACAGATGTTGTGTTAGCATTTCCGAAGAATGCAATGCAAAGAACAGTTTTAGAAAATCCAATGCTTCGAGGTCTTCAGGTCACTATAGATTCCAGAAACTTCCCCGATCAAGCGATGACCACAGTGGGCGACATATTCTTTACACGTATGCTTCAAGCTTCTGATTTAGATGGAGTGAATGAATGCACAGAAGAATACGAGGACTCATTAACTAGACCATTGAATGCAGATGATGGCACGCCATTAGCTAGAACATGGAAAGACCAAACTTCATTCTTATGCACTATTCCAGTTCAACGTGATGGAGCGGGTATATTCTTTGATGGATTAGAAACTTTCAATTCACAAGTTACAGTACAAGTGAAAGCTTATCCAATCATTCAGGGTGTAAATGACACTTACTGTTCAAAGGTGACAAATCCTCCTCAGGTTTGGTTTACTAGGACTACGTATTGGACATGGACACCGGATGAAGGTTTGAAATATCATCCAACAGGTACACCACCACAGTATAGAAGTTCATATGATGAAATATTGATGAATAGAAATGTTTAAAATTATAAATTTATTTTTGATTAAATGGATTTAAATTCATCCACTCCTTATGAAGAATTAGCAGGAGTATATAATACATACATAGATGATATGATTAATGAAGCATTGTGTGATAATAGAAATGCTTTATCTAAGGAAAAATTAATGAAAATTCCATATTCTGAATGTTATTTAAATTCAATCACTGCAGCAATTGGTAAACAAAATAAAGGTAAAACATTAACGATATTAAAACAAATTATCATTATTGCTAACACTTCCCCCTATTCACACGTGTTAATTTATATCAACCGTTCAGGTTCACCTTCAGATGATACATTTGAATCTTTAAAGCATTTAATCAAAATTCCAATTATTTATTTATCACAAGAAGAAGCAGAAGATTATTTAAAAAACTTTTTAATGTATAAAGAATTATATAATACAATCAAGAAGCAAGGATTAGAGGATAAAATTATTGATAAACAACGGGATGAATTATTTGAAACACTTTCTATTTCAAATTTTGATAGAGAATTTTTTGCATTCACTCATTTTTCTAGATGATGCAGTGAAATCAAAACTAATAACAAATGAGAAATCATATTTTAATCAATTATTAACTCAATGTCGACACATTCAGTGTTCATTCTTCATGGCTGTTCAATACTTCAAAGCATTAAGCACAAACATTAAATCAAATCTATCAACACTTTTCATTTTCAGTGGGTTTAGTCGTCAACAGTTGAACGTTATGCTTTATCAAGTGAATTTACCAATGAGCATTAATGAACTTTACACACAATATCAGCAATTAGGTGAACATGGAAAAATAATAGTTGATTTAAATAAAGGAAGTGTTAAATTTGATTAACTTTTTATAATTAATTTTATTTTTTATTTATAATTAAACATGACAGAAATAGCAAATCTTCTACAGGTTCCATTAAAACAAGGGACAAACAAAAAGGGTGCATATAATAGAACTATGAAAGTTCCTGATGGAATGAAAGAATTAGTTCATATTGTTGCTGGTCTTCAAAAAGATGTTAAACAAATGAGAAACGTTTTAACATTACAGAAGCTCAAGCATATGCCAAACGTCATGGGTCCAAATTGGGAAGCACACGAAGCAGACATTACAGGTCCAAATGGAAAACCTGATGGTATAAATGAAGTTTTCGTTACTGATGGTCAGGTAATATTAAAGTCATAAATGGTTATAAATTAACTATGTCTGATTATCCTAAACGTAAAGTATATAATGAACGTTATCCTATGCAATTTGATGAAAATGGAAAAAGCTGTTAACACAATACATTGGAGAAGGTGAACATGGTCCAATTAATTCATACCGTCATAATCCATATTCTTATTTCAATGAAGAATTAAATGCTATTGAAGAGGGACCGGATGGATTACCACGATATTCTAACCAGTTTGATGGTCAATATGCAAATATTAGACCTGAAATTTCAGCTAAGAAATTCTTTAAAGTTGCTTTATTCGATCCAGTTTTCGCAAATGTTAAAGATGAACTTAAACAGCAATTTCAACCAATTATAGTAGCAAGAATTGCATCAGGTGCTTTATCTCAAGCATTCAAAGATTTAATTAAGAAACCATTATATCAGCAACGAGGTTTAACTTATGATTTAGTTAAGGAATCAGATAAAAGAAAATTTGAGAAATCGGATGATTATAAGAATGCAATTAATGAATATATTAAGTCTATTAAT